GGAATGATCTTGCTTGTTTGCATGCAGCAATCAATACAGAACCTGACGAATGATAATACACCGAATGCAAATTTCAGTGTGTGCAAAGCAATAATAATAACAACAGTAAGTATATCATTTCCCTGAATTTATTGAACGTGGTGAGTTATCGTGTCGCCTGGAGACGCAAAGACGTATGGTTTTAAAATGGATGCTTCCTGGCAGGCTGACAGGGCTGCTCAGTGAGGCAAAGTGCTAGTAAATTATTTGTCCTCTGCAGTTCTGCCCTAATTCCTCTGGGAAGCACTGCTATTGTGTTTGCCAAAGAGAATAATGATAAATGGGCTTCCAATCAAACTTGAACATTTTTGGGATGCACTCAAGCCACCAGGCACAATCTGAATGCATTTGCGGTCCCCTGCACGAGATGCACCAACTATTATCCTTACAACCCTCAGGGGCTATTTACACAACACAAACACACACACACAAACAATATCTATGTGTGTGTGTGTATGTATATATATATCTGGTAATGACCGATCACACCTCACCTGTTTTTTGAAGCTGAGCCATGATTGGTTGTTTCCTGAGCCCTGAGTATCTGTGATGTCATTTTTCAGTTGACAGTAAGTGGCAAAATGGCCGCCCCCTGAGGTGGACAAAAACGGGTGGATTTTACTGCTTAACTTGTATTCTACATAGGTGATATTAATCAGAATGCCGTATTTAGACTGGTGGTGCTGCATAGAACATTTTTGCATTGGCTTCCCCTTTAATAAATGAGTAATGTGTATTTGTCAATCCAGGACATTTCCGCTACAAATCCTCTGGCTTTTCAAGCCTACAATTCTGAACCATAAATGTACAATCATCCTTTTCTCGACTGCTGCTGGCTCGTCCAGAAGCACTCGCCCCCATCTGTTCCCTCTCGGGAGTGTGACAAAATGCATTTCTCTGACAAAAAGATCCTCTTGACTGGAGTAGAGGTTTTCCTCAGCCATTTTTAAAGGTTACGGGCGGGGTAAATGCCACCGCCATTTGCTCACAGTTAATCAGGTCTGGTTTTGCAGATAAAGCAGAGGCAAAACTTTGGTGTAATGCTCCAAAGGCGTTGTCTTAGCTTCCAGGCCTTTTATAGAGGCGGCTGCATTTCCGCAGGAAGCGAGGTAAAGAGCGTGGCTGTCAGCAGGGTGTGATTTGTGGCACGGACGCCCTCGCCAACTGTGAGGCACCGAGGTGTGACCGCAGAGATGGCGAACACCTCCAGCTGCCTCAGGGCCAGCCAGTCAATTATACAATAGTGTGCATGCCGAGCAATGACGTGTGCTCAGTGGAGCAAGGGCATAGAGGGAATGCATTTCGGAGTGGTTAATAGCCACAGTGGCACTTTCATCACAGCAATTTTGTTCACATACTATTGTGTCTGGCAAAATGTGTCCAAATGTTAGCATCAGTGCAAATGGACTCCCACAGCTGTTCGATTTTCTATACCAGCCAAACAATGATGTCAGAAAGTGGCAGAGTAATCCCTTTTGGCGAAGAAAACATTGACTAATTGTTGAAAGGTTCGGGCTAAAACACATAGGAGTTGCAAATTGCAGCTAATAACAATTTTGAGCAAGCTTTTTTGGAAATGTAGTGAGCTAATTTATTCAACATTAAATGTTGCAACACGATACTGAAGCTACTCACCAGAAATATGTCGTGTGCATGCAGTTTTAATCCATGGCTGCCAAAAACATGTTGCCCGCCAGAGCTACGTTAGCTAGTTCTGTTTGCTGACATTGTTGGAATGACTAGCTTAGCTGGTGACTGTCATGTTACCTTCAGCAAATACCTCTATGTGTGTCCTTCTATTTGGTCTTGGAGCGAATGAAGTCAACCAGAAGAGACACTTTTAAGGTTCAAAACTCCCAGGGGAAATGTATCTTCTGTGGACGTTTTTGCACAGTGATCACGAAAAGTAGCTTCACAATTCAAAAGCTATTTGATGTTGAGAACAGCTAATGTTACGAAAACACTACGGGAAAATGTAGTTAAAATTGTAATGCCGCTACTGCCCAAAACTGGTAGTTTATACAATACTGTATAAAGTGTGTGCCTACACGGCCACACAGAAGTTATGACTTCCATTTTGAGTTTTCATTGGGCTAAGTTAAACACACCTATGTCCACAATCCAGTTTCCCACCTTAAAATCCAAAGAACAAGTAAGAACCTGCGGCGCTGCGCTTTTGTGAGGTACACTGAGATCTCCCATGACATGTTTATCTGTATTTCATGTAACTGCTCACTCACGAGGCGTGCAAACAAGGTACCAAGAGCCAAAGAAAAACCAAACCCACGCTGACTAAAGGGACCCAACATGACATTCTGCCATCTTGCAATGTCATGCATGTGTAAAGCAACTTAAGAGGCATGCTTTTCCCCAAAATGTTCAAATTCCAAGTTGTACAACTACATTAGTATATGGTGGGATATCGCAACTGGGAAAAAAAAGTGCATAATACAAGCAGTCTACCTCAGTCTACGTATAGTGGGATATAGCAACTGGGAAAAAAAAAGTGCATAATACAAGCAGTCTACCTCAGTCCGGGGATATTTCGGTCACTTGAGGATCTCAACTGTTTATGAGGACCATGTGTGGAAATCTCCAAGAGGGTCCTTGTTCAAAGCAAGCCGCCACTCCTTTGTGAAACACGTTATCGTGTGCATGCAGATGTGCTTTTTGTTAGAGCCTTGCACCTCATCCATTACCTCGGGCCTGCCAGGGAGATAGCGCAGAATGAATCTATTCAAAAAGGACCATGACAGAGCAGGCTGCTTAGCTGAACTTTCCATGAACTAGGCTCAGCAGCGGGATCCATGCATCACATCAAAAAAAAAAAAAAAAAAAGTAATTTCTTGCTGCTTCTCTGGTCCGCGCTCCATACAGATTGCTACTATCATCATGGTCTGGCGTGCCCATGTATCAATCTGTCATTCTGATATTTGCTTTGAGCGCCGACTATCCTTCCTGAGAGAACTGGCAAGTTTGTGATCCCCTTATCTTGCTGAATCAATGTGTCACTGTGTGGCCTGCTCAGATATAACTTAAACATATCGACTCACTCGCCAAAGAAATCACATTTAAAAACACCTCAGTATGATACACACTTCTACACCACTGTCAACTGCAGTTTAAATATCCTATTTGTCAAAGTTACTGTTTGTGAATCAAAACCCCGCACTGTTGTCTTTATGAACATAAATTGATAGCCCACTATTGAGCTAGCTAGCTAGCTAGCTAGAAAGCAAGCAAGCAAGCTAGCTAGCTAGCTTCTAACTAGTAAGATTAGATGGATAGATAAAGCAAGCAAGCTAGCTTCTAACTAGTAAGATTAGATGGATAGATAGATAGCAACACAGCACATTGCAAGATATTAATGTCGTAAATAAGAAATATGAGTCTTGCATTGTACAGCCACACAAGTTAATAAAATCAGTCCATTCTATTTGTTTATTTGACTACATATCATTGCAACATAAAAAGCAGCAATTCTACCGATGTTCCCGTAACCTTTCTCAAACCGGACGACTAGATGTGACTACATGACAATAGGCATTGCTCAGTCAACTTGCCCTGTCAGGACAACCTGCATGTGAACTGCACATAAAACATACAGAAAAGAATGTCGCTTGCTCACTGCACTGAAATTAAAAGACGAACGCAGGAGCTTTATCCATGCTCAAACCAAAGGCTGCAGAGAAAAGCAGCGCTGACAATGCATGACAACTCCTGTTGCTATTCTTGTTGCATTGCATACGCTCCAGGCTACAAGTGGGACAGAAAGAAGCAACAGCACCTCAGACATCAGAAGACTTTTGGGAGGTGTGTTGCTCCCTTGTCAACACAACAAGCAACTATTTGTTTCCCGAATTACAAAGGACGCGCTCAAGACTTTATGGTGGAACACTGCAAAGCCTTATTGAAGCTTCTAATAAAGAGGTCGCCAAATCTTTTGAAACTCTTTGTGTACTGAATAATGCAGAGGTTGACGAGTTATGCACACATTTTTGAAAAACAAAAACAAATTTGCTCAAATGACAGTACCTTTAATTGTATGTCGTTATGAATAATTATTGATATTCAATGTGAAGACACTGATCATGTTCATGATTTCTCACATTAACAAGGAGTTAGGAAATAGATTATTACTGTACACTTCTACAATCTCTGCAAGTTTTAACATTTTCAATGATAATTTGTTCAAAATTCCGGGGAAATCACATTGTGTCACCACGGGTGGGCTATTTATACAGGAGGCTGCAGGTTCCACATGTGGACTTTGGGAACTACCAAAATTCGACTTTTTTTTTTTTTTAATAATCGTATCACCCTGGACAATAAGCGATAAGATGTGGATAAGCCGATTAGTAATATTTCATTAATTTCATATAATACATTATTATTTATTTGGTGATGGTACAGATAAAGGAAAATACACTTATGTGGTCAAACAGAACAACTTTCATTCCCCCAGGTTTAATTTCATAAGAATACAGCCACACAGTCCTAAATAATCAATATTGGCATTTGTCATCTACAGCATTACATCCGATGGCAATTTATTTGATGAGATGTGATTATTATTTTATTTATTTGTTTTTCATCTCAGTTGCATGTCATGTATACCCAAAACCCAAAAAATAGCACAGATACATAAATAAATGTCAGGGCAAAAAGTAAAAGAAAAAACATCACCACGTACACCAGCAATTGTCAGATGACCAGGCAAAGTCTGGACATAATGAAGATTCCAGAGGGTAGACACAGATAAAAAGTTTTGATAAAATAAATAATTACAATTATTCACAAAAACTCAAGACAGATTCAAGACAGGTGCGACTCATGAGGCAACGCCCACTCTTCAGGTGACAACTGAGAAAGCAAACGAGTCAGGATCACAACAGCAACAACAAAACAAGCCTCAACATGTACTGTTCAAAAAAAAACAAAACAAAAAAAAAAAACAAGACAAAAAAAAAAGCAATGGGAAGAAGAAAACCTATTGCCGCCACAACTGTATTTGATCATCTCTATCGTAAGTAAATATCTTTTTTCCTGGATTGGCATGGCTTCAAAATATTCACCCACACGCACTGCTCAAAATGCATATTCACTGCCGCTGGGTGTAGTTTTCACCATAAACGTAGCCAGAAAAGTCAGAGTAGTTCAAAACAAATGACGAACAACACCACGGCGGGTGGAAGCATTCATTATTGTCATCATGCAAATGATTTTACGTGCCAAATTATGAAACGCCGCCCCAATCAAATCAGCAATCAACAAGCTTCATATAGACATTTCACAAAACACTTGCGGTTTTCTACGACCACTTCATCACACAATCGCAACCAAAAGCACAAAAAGACTTAAGCAAACACGTTTTGCAACAACCAACCAGCGAACAAACAAACAAATAAAAACAAGCAAACTCACCAAAGATACTTTGAGGCCGGAGATCTGATAGAAGTCCGAGGAGAAGCATCCTAGCCAATGTCCAGAATGCATAATCCATACAAATGTTAAAAATTAATCCAGGGTAGATTATTAACATTTGCATATACGTCATGCACCCCAAATCAAACATTTTAGAGAAAAAAAAAAGTCAGCAGGTGCTTTCCCACTTCCTTTTGTCACAGGTGAGTGCAATGTCATTGGTTGAGCGGATCAGCAAATCAGAACTCAATGTATTTTAAGGTCACAGAAGTTGCGGTGCCGCACTTGACCTTTTATGAGTGTGTTTTCACATTTAGCCGGTGTAAATTAAAAATCAAAGCTGACAGTTTTTGAGTGCAGATTAACAATCAACAGTGTGTATTTTTAATTATTTTTCTTTCCCCGATTGCTTTGCTGCTCTCGGAGGAGAACGCTAAGGGAAAGTCAAAAGGTGACATTAGCACTGGAAACAAAGACAAATGTTTTGCTGCCTCAGCACACGCTGGTGATGTGACCCCACTCACGCACTGCCGGGTTTGCAGTATGCAAACTCGGACGGTGGTGAAAACGGAATTTCTCTCTTCCTCTGAAAATGAACCTGATTGTAAGTTGAGAGGTTCGTAGTTTTGTAGTGGATAGCTTTACTTTAAAAATGGGCAAAAGGAGAGATGGAATCCTTTGAAGGCAGTTTTTTATTTTCCCAACGTCTGCACCTCCGAACGAACGAACAAGAACACACCTCCTTCCCGGAAACACCAAACACTTCCTGGTTTCCTTAACCAATCATATAATATCAACATAAACTTGTTTAAGCAATTATTAAACGGAATGTAACCTAGTTAACGGTAACACAAAAGAACATAATGCTCAAATATAAAATGAAAATAATTATTAATTTAACATAAGCTTACATGATTCGGACCTCGGAAATTTAGGCTGAGGAACTGGTCCTGCTGTGACAGTAGTTGACAACTTGTCGAAGTGGAGCAGCATCCTCCATGTGACGAGGTGTCGACCGTATCGTCAAGAGACAGCGTGAGGAGCATTTAGGCTCCAAAGTATTTGAAAAAATAAAAATAAATAAAGTGCAGCATTGTGTATGTAATTAACAGTAGCGAAACATGTGACCTTATGAAGTCTCTGTGGCTGTATTCTCTGCTTCGACGCTCAATCAGATTTCAATGACGGTCGTTGAAAATGAATTGTTGTGCCATTTGGGTCTTGTGCATAACAAATCCACTGTGGTGAGAAATTGAACTTTTCATGCAACAAACCAAGGAGCGGTGTCACATCCTCGCAAACGTGCTGAGCCGGCAAAACGCTCGCTTTGTTTCCACTGCAAATGTCATCTTTTCACTTTGCCCTTTGCTCACCTCCAAGAGCAGCGAAGCAATGATTGCAAAAAATTGTTTCACTAATGAAATGGCACATTTAAGTGCAGCCGAATTTATTTATTTATTTGTTTATTTTTAATGTGAACAAATTGACAAATTTGATGTTGTTCTAAAGACGTATTTCCAAAATATATCATGGCACACAAGGACGGTACAACTTAATCTGGGAAGTGTGCTCTGAAAACGGTCCTAAAAGAAATGAGCTAGCACACCGGTGTCAAATTCAAGGCCCAGGGGTCAGATCCAGCCGGCCACGTCATTTTATGTGGCCCGCGAAATCCAATCATGTGTGTCAACTTCCATGATTGCTAAAATCTGTATTGAAATGAAAATGGAGTGTGTAATAAATAACGTTGAGATTTTGCAATAATCCTCTCATGCTGTTCACACTCACTTGAACAATAATTGAACAAACTATTAGAGTTGACTGATTTCCAAACTAGTGATGCATCAATTTTTGTGTACAAATAATTACACGATGAGATGATTAAACGTTTATTTGGTTTCACTGTCATAATGGCCCTCCGAACGTAACTCAAAAGTGGCCAGCGACAAAAATGAGTTTGACACCCATGTGGTAGCATGTGTGGTCAGTGAGTCTTTGTGCGAGTGTCTGGGTGTGAGCTGTGGCCAACAGCAGCAAATGTCTTTATATGTATAAATGTTCTCCCGATGTTCAATAAACAGCAGAAACGTGTAAAATAATGCTGTATAGCAGGGCAAACAATGATTTTTTTTTTCTTGTAGCTTTGCTCCAGGCGGAGCAGTATTGTTCGGACTGAATTTCATTTTGCTTATTGCTGTCCAGGTCAAGACAGCCACTGTGTCTTTCTGCAAGAGACAGTTAAAAGGATGCTATAGGCCCTGGGGCGATGAGGAAATGTGATCACGTAGAAGTTTTTTTTTTCTTTCTTGCTAGTTTTAAGAGAGGGTCAACATGTGTGCGGAGATTTGCTGCAAAGTGGGTGAAGAAGCAAGGAGGACTTGACAAGATGAATTGGGAGGTGGTGTTGGTCGTGGTGTCTTTTTTGAAGTGTGTGTGTGTGTGTGTGTGTGTGTGCTTTGTAATGCACAGCAACTCCAAGGCAGAGCCCCGGTTCCTTCGTTTAATTTCGTCCTGGGGAAGAAGGAGAAAGCCGTTGGAATCTTGAAACTTGGCTGTCCAGCTCTCTGTTTTGAAGAGACGCCCGCATGTCTTCCCTGTTTCTCTTTAACTCAGAGAACGTGGGGTGGGGTGAGGGGGAGGTGTGGGGTGGGGGGGCGGTATTCTAATTAATCTGTTAATGACAGTCGGGGCTGTCATAAACTCGGGGAGTGCATAATAAATTGCCGTAATAAAAATTAAGATTGCATGCATCATTGAAGCCTTCGGAGGGTTTGTTTAATGTAGTTTGAAGGGAAAAAAAATGGTCACAGCCGACGTGACGTCCGGCGCTTCGGCAGGAGAATGCTAATTTCTGAATGACACTTAACCTGCTGCGGCTCAACCGCAACTGAGGGAGGTTCAGGGGGAACCTAATGAGTTTTTCCGCAGCCCATTTTGAAACTCACTCAACTGGATGGCCCGCTTTGTATCCGCAAGGCAAAAATGAGAAGAAGGAAAACTTTGCTAGTGGGCTAAGACTTTGTCCTTTAAAAATAATCCAACCTGTTTCCCTTTTTTTTTTTTTTTAAAAATCGATGCTTGGCGACTGGATATGGATACTGACATCACACTTACATATTGAGCTCATCTCATGTTAAGATAAACCTTTTCAGGGACAGCGGTTAAGACAGTGGACAGCTTATCATGTTATCAGGTTACAGGGTGCATGAAAGGGTTAAAAAAAAAAAACACCAGCCAGGGAGGAATATGTAATCAAATTCAAATTGGCAATGCAGTGAGTGTAGACGAATACAATTTTCAAATTGCTCTAGTCCACACGTGTGTAAAACTAGTGTCGTTAACACTCAAGACTGCTCCTGGTCTCGAGACCAGATTTTGAAGTTTTTGGTCTTGTCTCTCATAACTCCCAACTTCCAAATGTCTATCTATGCATGTTTTTCGGTTTTGTACTTGATGGACTTGGTATTCTTTCACTTCAGTGATATTGAATATGATAAAATGAAGAAGCAATTTGTAAAAGACTTTTGGAAAAAAACAAACATGCAAAAGAAAATCCTCTGCAGTGTGCAGATTCTGGCTTCTTCAACTCACTAAAATGGTGTCGAGCAATCTCAAAAGAAAACATAAAAACAGCGAAACTATCGCTAACTCTAAGTAACGCTAGCGACTCGATTTTTTTTTTTTTGGCCTAAAATGAATATTAGCCCTTTCAGGGACAGCGCTTACGACAGTGGGCATCTTATCATATTATCTGATTCCAGGGTGCATGAAAGGATGAATTCCACTTTCTTGGCTTAAGTCCAACAGATATGTATTTTGCATTATAGTTCATAGCTTTTGCCCAGATAGCTCAATTGGCTGTCTTTCATTTTCAATCGGAAGCGAGACCTTCGCAGCAGTTTCACAGAAACGAGTGACATAAACCCATGACCCCCTGTACCGTATACAGCAAAACCTCTGGTTTTGCAATTGACGGATGAAGTTAATACTGCTCTGACTGTCGGTCAAAATGGAGCATTCTTCTCTCGGAATTTTGCATCTCATTGGACAGAGCCGGCGTGCTTCATGTCGTGTCTGCGGAGCGTACGTGCGAGCCTGTGAGAAATAGTCGGGAGGTCAAAGGCAGCGCTGTTGGCTTGTTCTTCTTCCTCTTAACCGCAACATGAAAGGTGCTGCGTCGTAGAGGCTGAAGGGGGCACGGCATCATGTCAGCAGCCGGGCAATTCCTCTTCTTTGATGGGGAAAGAAAGCTTCCGTTCCCAGAGGAACTAAAGTGCAAAGTCTTGTGGAACTACGCAAACCCATTTGAGTATTATTTTCGGGTTGGGGGAATAATTAATTTCATTTATCGTTTTTTTTTTTGTTTTTTTGGCAGGGGTCACATTAATTTTCAACCCCGCCCACCACTTATTGGCTTCTCTAGCCTGCTGCTGTGCAATTTTTGCACTAAAGTTCAGTGTGAAAACCTCACCGTGGCCCGTCGATTAAAATGCTGCCACGAACGTCCTACTTCAAGATTTTCTCATCAAATGTCATTGCGTTGACGACTTTAAATATCGTCTTGTTGACTTCCCCTCTTGCCATGATGACTTTAAATCTCTT